TAGACAGGGAGCCCACCAGATCTGTGATTCCATTGAATATGAGAGCAAAACTGAAGAGGTAGACGCAGCGAGGGCGAACCCACTGGAGTCCTGCGATGATGCCACACGTGGGCCGTGCGAAAATGTCAACGAAACCCAGAATGGTAAGCAGGAGGGCAGATTTCGTGTCCTCGTTTCCCAACTCTTTGGCATAACTCACCACAAACACTGGGGGCACAAACAAACCGAGCACCATAATGGAGGCAGCGATTGTATAAATGACAAAGCCCGGGTCTCTGAAAACACTGAAGTCCAGCAGCTTGGGCTTGGGCTTTGCTTTCTTGTTTCCGTCATCTGGTGTGTTTTCAGTCCCAGGGGTCTCTGACTTCTTTGGCGGGACCAAAGGCCTCATTAAAGCCCCACAGGCACAGCAGTTCAGAAGCATCCCTCCCAAGATGAGGAAGCCCCCTCTCCAGCCATATTCATACTGAAGGACCTGCCCCAAAGGGGACAGACAGCACAGAGCCACTGGACTCCCAGCAGCGGCCAGGCCATTAGCCAGTGGCCGCTTCTCACTGAAATATCGATTCAACATAATGAGTGATGGCTGGAAGTTCAGGGCCATTCCAAGACCTGGAATCAGAAGATAGAAATGTTTACATGTACCTGGATAGACATCAATCCTTCAGTAAAAGAGTAAATGATAGCTAAAGTACCTGTAATGACTCCTGTACACAAGTAAATGTGCATGATGCTTGTGGCAAATGATGCCAAGACCATTCCCAACGATGCAAAGAGGCCGCCCACTAACATCACTGGACGGCATCCAAATCGATTCACTAAAATGCTGCATAAAGGCCCTGCGAAGAGTAATTATACGTATATATTATATATCTGAACTATCTGAATCCAGTTTAAACTAATTAGAAGACATTAAAGGGATTGTTACTCAAAAATGAATATTCTGTAATCATTTACTCCAGTGCTGTTTTAGACCCCAATGACATTTGTTACTTGGACAAAAACAGTTCAGACGTTCTGTTCCCATGAAGAAAGAAAATTCATAAATATTTGGAAATGATGACAGAATTTTCATTTTTTGGGGGTGAACTCCCCCTTCAAGACTTTGTTTGATTGGTGGTAAACATACCAGTGCCATAAAGCATAGCCAATAGGATGGAGGAAATCCAGGCTGTGTCACTGTAGCCCACCTCAAACTCTCTAATTAGCTCCTTGAAGAAAACACTGACAGCCTTTGGAAAAGCGTAGGAGAAGCCTGTGATGATGAAGCAACCAAAGAGCACAGCCCAACCCCAGCCACCATCAGGGGCCTTCACTCCACTACTGCCGTCATCCAGTGCCACTCCACCCATGATGCTCTATTGCTCTGTGGAGAGATGAGACACACACACACGTTATCAGGGGAATATAAAAAGTTGTAGTATGCAGGTCAATTATATTGCTTTCAGGACCTTAATACAAGGAATCACATTTAGTCAAATGACATTCGAGTTGGAGGTCAACAATGGCAGCTGTAATAAAACATTTTAATGATAATAAAATACCCAGGTTATTGCACACCAAAATCATAATGATATGCTTCACTGTAGTGTATAATCATATCACCATGCAAAAATGTTAATGGTCCTAAGACAGGCTTTAATTTTTTCTGAGATTCAATCTACAACAGAAAGAGAATTTAGAGAGAATGTTACTATGATTTTTATCATCTTGTATGATTGCCTTAAATATAAATTATAAAAAAGTATATGTAATTAGAATGTTTTCTAGTTTGTATTCCTTTGATGAGTGATACATGTCTGAGTGATACATGACTCCATTTGGTAATGGAATGGAAGCTATTCAATTCAATTCAATTCACATTTATTTGTATAGCGCTTTTCACAATACACATTGTTTCAAAGCAGCTTTACAGAAAATGCATGTGTCTGCATTACAAAGCATACGTGAATGTGTCCAAGTAATGTTCATTTCACAAATGAACAGTTCAAGATAATCATACAGCTAGCTAACATGAATACATTTTAGGCAGAAGCTCATTAAAGCGATTATTACAACTACAAGTGTGATCATAATGATTACAATATAGAGACATTTTGGCAGCTGTGCATGTCGATTCAAGTTGGCGTCATCTGGGGTCCTCGCAGTGGTCAGCATCATCTCTTCAAAGGTGTTTGGGGTCATCTTAAGTCTATGTTTAACATGGTACATTTTGTGAAGGAAATGGTACATTTTGGGGTTAATGCACATGTCAGCACATATACTGATCTTTCACAATATCCCCTATTCAGCTTTAATTGACTTACCGTCTATCTGAGCTCACCTATATTTGTACCAAAATGCCCTTTCGCATCGCGTACAACTGTTTTGACGTCCTGTCAGACGCGCAATATGCGCACTTTTACGCGGTTCGATGCCTTTCTGTAAAAACAAGCCTCTAATAATATAATCTTCAACCCGATTAATCTAGTATAACACTATTATTTTAAATATTGTCTGCTTGTTTACAAGCCTTCCGTAATTCTTCCGTATTTCCGAGTCACCTGTTACGTTTGTATGTGGGGAATATACGGTAAGGGATGCTGCATGGATTCGGGACAGGCTCATGCGCAGTCCACATTTATCAATGTGATGCCAGGTTATTTATTTAAGTTCATAAATAGCCACTGTATCACTTTTCATGTGTCTGCATCTAAGAGCATTTTTGTGATTAGAGGCTTTTTGGGCAACTAATGTCAATTATTAATAATCAACAATAACGTGCAGATTTAAATTCATAGCTAGTCAGCTCAACTTCCTTACATCAAACTGACATTTAAACTCAATCCTAAGATCTGTGCAAATATTTATCTTCTTCTGGAGAGGCTAATTAACGTCATTTTGGCAATACAACATGTTTATCCAAATCCTCTAATTGCCATAATAAGCTTCAGGGATATAAACTAACTGTAATGGTACTTACTAAAAATATGATGCTCTGTCACCTTCAAATTTCATTTCTGTTCACTGGAACACGCTTCTAGCAGCACGTATGACATTATAGACGTAGCTAAGTAAAAAAGAGAAACCCGACTAGTTGGCTCTGTGGACTGGGTCCTAAAGTCTGCTGCTCACATCATGTTTTCATTTCCACCTAAGCTTGCGTGTGATGTCAGCATTTCTTTCTGTTTCTGTGCAACTGTGTAAAAATAACCCGGCCAGTTCTAAGGTTCAGTAAGTTGTGAAATATTAAAGTTGCAGATCAGGAAATAGCCCAGTGAGTGGAAACTGGAAATTTCAAACTGGAATGTTATTTCAAATATGCCAAATATCTGTGAAGATGTGCATGAGTTTCTGGAGGAGCTCATGCATATCCATCTCAAATAATTGAAGAAGTCATATGCAGAGGTAGATTCATGTATGAATAGTAACATGTAAAGGCATCGTTGTTTGTTTCAAAAATCAGGCCTCAATAGGTATTTTTCTTGTTCTTTAATTTTAATGTCAGAAAAGAGCATTTATGGTCTCTATATAGTCTGCTTCACTGTCCCTTTTCACTGCAGAACATTGCAGTTTGTTACTTTGTTTTGAGCTTTCTGGCGGGAACCGGACTGGCCTCTGAAATAACCTGCAGGGCATCAGAGGATTGATCAGTGCTGTGGTGTAACACAATCATTTAATCACAAACACACAGATCTAATGTGGGTCATGAATACATTAAGCCCAACACATCCACATTGGCTGTCGTGGCTTGAGTTTTCAGGCTTGAGCAAACCATGCAAAGCTGTTCAGTGCATATTTTGCATATTCCATCAGAATTTAAATTGAAATGTTTTCTGGATAAATATGTCTTAAATATATAATGGCTTTTTGTTGAATCACAGTGTAAACAAACTCAGTGACTTATTATGGAAGCATAACAATGCAAAGGGAAAAAGGAAAAGAATGACAGGAAATGATGGGGATGACTTGACACGTTCAAGTCGAGTTCCTGTAAGTGAACTAATCTACATGTTGGTAGTTTCTCTTTTTGAATACTTGCAGAATGTCTATGTAAGTTGCCTCAAGTAAATATATGGATGTATATTTAATGTGAGTGCATATGCAATCGATGTGTTGCTTAAACATTAGATTGGTGTTGATATTGGTTTTATTTATTTATTTATACCAGAATAATTGAAAAAACAATATACGAAAATGTTATCTGTGCTCATGAAACTGTGGGTGAACATGAATTTTTACTGCATTAAAGTCTGCATCAGTAACTGTTAATGAAAATGAAACTTCCAGATTTCCATGGCATCCATAGTATCCCTTCCGCCTATTAAAAGCACCGATTCAGACTGCAGGCCTACATGAAAGAAGAAGAAGAAGAAAAAACAGAAGAGGATCATGTTGGCAACAAATGGACAATCATTATACACAAAGAGAATGGATATGAGAGGTGTTTTAGAGACTTTCTTAATGGAGACAAAAAAGGACAAAGAGTGTGAATTATTTATGAATTTATATATTTTAGCTCCTCTCAAATTCAGATTTGGTCATTTGAATACTTTTTCTAGTTGGAAACGAGGCCTCACATAACACTACCACAAATAATCCTGCAGAAAAACATAGTGAAGCCATACATTCTGACTGTTCACCGGGGCTCACCCCAGTATTCAAAATCATGGTTGATTAATATGTAGGTAATTGGTTAATTATTTCTAATATTTTTCCATGAATCATTATATTCATTGTCAGTGCATATATGATGGCTTGATGTTTCGCAGTAACTGACTGTATAACTTTTCATGAGTACTTTAGATAAACACGAAATATGTTTTGATATACATTTTAAAACAGGTAGTTTATTTTAATCGTATTCCAGCTGGGCAAAGCAATAACTTGTCGCCTCAGTCGCCAGTCATTTTAAAGGTCTACTCTACTGCCCTCTAGTGAGGCTTTTTAGAGCAACACCTTCACGCAGGATGACGCACTGCCAGGCTACCACTCATTCAGCCAATCAGCGCACGGGCGGAAGTTGTCTGTTCTTTCTGTTTCTAATTCGCTCTTACAACTTCTAGAAATTACTGTTTTATCTGGAAACTGGCTATCCGTTGACCTTTTGTAAATGGAAAGTGTTTCTACAAAAGTGAAAGATAATATGACTTCCCGAAAACGAAAAAGGGACGAAACTAAAACGGAGGAGATCAGGTAACTTTACTGTGACTGATACATTTTCATAATCATATCAAGCAGCGTTTTATTGCCCTTACAACTTATGTTCAGTGTGATGGTTGTTTGTTCAGCTCTGAGTCTTGCCTCAGTCAGCCAAACGATCAAAGTGTTCATGAAGTCATAACGAACAAGCCATCTACGTTGCCAGGTACTGATCATATATGCTGCATTTTAATCTTTTTTTAAAAGATCATTGTCTCTCTTAAAAGTTTTTTTGTGGTCTAACAGCAATCCACTATGATCCTGACACGACTGAGCCCATCAGCTGCAGTCTGAAGTCTCTTGATGAATTGTTGTCATGGAAACGAAAGGAAGCAAGTCTTTTTAATGTGGCCACTGTGCCTTTGGCTAGCAGGTATCCTCCACTGCACAGCTGCCCTAGACGGACATTGGTGTCCCATGACATGATGGGTGGCTACCTGGAGGACAGGTACAGCTCAAAGTTTCAATCATGTTATGTCAGTTTCATTAGTTGTTTGGCCAGCCTTCAGTATCTTCATGGTCCTGTCCTTTCTGCTGAGGTTCATTCAAGGTGCAGAGGTGGAGACGCCATATGCCTTCTATCACTGGGAGTATATTGACATCTTCAACTACTTCAGTCATCAGATGGTAACCATTCCTCCGGCGGTTTGGACAAATGCAGCACATAAGCATGGAGTGCTCTCTATTGGTGAGTCTGTTGGTGGGATTTTATGGGCTAAAATCTCAGTCTTAAGCATATTAGTCTTGCTGTAAAAAGAACATCCTTGTAAAAAAAGAAGTATGCTTTAGCTAGGGTGACCATACGTCCTCTTTTTCCCGTACATGTCCTCTTTATGGACCTAAAAAATGCATCCGGTGTACCGACTAAACATGCTACCTATCAGATTGTGCTACCAAAAATATATTTGCATTGTTTTAAGGGTAAGTTTAGGGTAGGGGTAGGTATGGACATTACAAAAAAGCCTCAAACCACATGAATAAGATGCTGGTAGCACAATCTTTTTAATGGGAGGTAGCACAATCTGGGCGGGTAGAACAAATCGTCAGAACACCGGCCGGGATTTCTAAATCGCCCAAAATGTCCGGGATTCGGCTTTTGTTTTCTACAGTCGCCAGTCATCGTGTGCATTTTTGTATTAGAGCCCTGCGAGGGACTGTTTTCCTAATCCCGCTCCCGTTGAATTTCTGACCATTATCGCCCGCTCCCGCGATTTTTGTGTCCAGTCTCCCGACTCCCGTTCACTCCCACAAACATTCTAATAGGCTATTGCATATAATTTTCGCACATCAGGGAACCGCTATCAATATGAAGAGTATTTAAATCTCTTTTGTATGAGCGCTCGCTGTTCACTTTCACTTTCGATTTCACGATCACGCGCGCACTCTGTGTAAAGGATGATCAGATATTTGCCAATGAGCTCAGGATCTGTTGAGCAGCATATCCTCCAGCATGGTCTATCAGCCATCTCTCCTCTCAACCCGTGATCAGTCAAATCTGACTCCTGCTGCTCGTGATGGATGCAGGGTTGTCAAGTCTGCTTTTTTTCTCTCCATGGAATTGGGCTACTTTTAAACTGTTGCCATGGGTTGATTTCCCCCCGTGGGTTAAATGTTTGAAATGTTGCATAAATTACATTTGACTGAAATGCTTGTATTGAAACATTTTGCATTCTACCTATGATAAAACTGTGCTGTTAAGTAGCTAAGGAGGGCCACTGGTAGGAAGCTTTTTAGCTGTGTTTATGATCAATATGCATAACAGTGACTGTAAAATATGTTTTTTAGGTATGGAAATGGCATATTTTGATGTTTTGATATTTGGGATATATACTTTGGGCACTACTTTAACCACCAACTAACCACACCCCAACCCCTCCACCTTGCCCGCACCCACTGTCCTCTTTTTGGAAAACTAAAATATGGTCACCCTAGCTTTAGCATACTTTTAAAAAGAGTAAAGAAATAATATATTAAAAAGAATATACCTAAGTGTGAACTGAATTTAGTGTTTTCTGACACTAAATTGCATATTAATTGCAAATGCAATTAAATGAAAATCTATTATAGTTTAGATTTATACTAAATACTTAAGTAGGACTTAAGTATCTTTCACATGCAATTTCTTAATTCTATTGTCTTACGGTTTCAAAGCAAAGTGTACTGCTGAGTGTACTGACAAGCATTTATGGTAAACTAAATGGTAAACTAACTTTAATGTAATTTCCATTGAAACATCTATGTATTGTTTTCAAATACATTTGTAGTTACACATTTGTAACAATGAAATGAAAATTTAGTACATTTAAAATATACTAATTTGAAATGAAATATTGAATAACACACTACAGTTAAAATGATAATCATGTACTTTAGTATGTTGGCCAACACATCAAAAAGAATGATTTAAAGAAGTTTAAAATCTACTTTAAAGTAAAACTTACATTGTTACAAAGTGCATTTTTCTTAAAAGTGTACTTAAGTATGTTGAGAAACATTCTTGAATGTTTACTTTTAAGTGGCCTATTATGTCATTAATATTATCTGCAAGTAGTTTTAAAAATATATATTTTCTTTTTCACAAGGGTAATTCACCCAAAAATTAACATTTTGTCAACATTTCCTCAAACTGATAATGTTTCAAACCATTTTTATCCTTTCTTCTCTAAAACACAAAAGGAGAAATTTAGCAGTGTCCAAGCTGCTCTTTTCCATACAATAGACAGCAGGTGGCGGCCAAGCTCTTATAAGGACAAAACAGCATCATAAACATAGTCCATATGAATTGTGTGCTATATTAAAGGGTTAGTACACCCAAAAATTTAAATTCTGTCATTAATTACTCACCCTCGTGTTGTTCCAAACCCGTAAGACCTTCGTTCATCTTCGCAACACAATTTAAGATATTTTTGATGAAATCTGAGGGCTCTCTGACCCTCCCATAGACAGCAAGGTAACTACCACGTTCAAGGTCCAGAAAAGTACCAAGATGATCGACAAAGTAGTCCGTGTGACATCAGTGGTTCAACTGTAAATGATGACGTCATTACGCTGGATCTGGGTCAGCGCCGGCGCCGCCACACGCTCGCGTCATGCTGCTGTCGTGAACGCGACGAAAATGTGGAATAAAGTCGTTATTTTTGTTTTCTTTGCGCAAAAAAAGTATTCTCGTAGTTTCGTAACTTTACAGTTGAACCACTGATGTCACACGGACTACTTTGTCGATCATCTTGGTACTTTTCTGGACCTTGAACGTGGTAGTTACCTTGCCTGGGTCAGCGCCGGCGCCGCCACACGCTCGCGTCATGGTACTGTCGTGAACGCGCATCCACAAGTGACGCAGTAGAGACGAAAATGTGGAATAAAGTCGTTATTTTTGTTTTCTTTGCGCAAAAAAGTATTCTCGTAGCTTTGTAACTTTACAGTTGAACCACTGATGTCACACGGACTACTTTGTCGATCATCTTGGTACTTTTCTGGACCTTGAACGTGGTAGTTACCTTGCTGTCTATGGGAGGGTCAGAGAGCCCTCAGATTTCATCAAAAATATCTTAAATTGTGTTGCGAAGATGAACGAAGGTCTTACGGGTTTGGAACAACACGAGGGTGAGTAATTAATGACATAATTTTCATTTTTGGGTGAACTAACCCTTTAAAAGTGTTTGAAGCCATATGACCTTTATGAAAATAAACATATTATATGATATCTTTTGTGAGGTACTGTATAATAACTCAAATTTCAGTCTGCTTTATACAAAAAGCAATCATATGCCATTTGAAGAGTCATAATATAGCGCACAAGTCATATAGACACTTTAATTGTACATTTATAGTTGGAGGTTGACAGACAGTGATCTCAGTGTAATGGCATGGAAAAGAGCTGACATTTCTACAAAAAAAAGGCAGAAATTTCTAGAAAATCTAAATGTTTGCAATGACATGAGAGTGAATATATAATGACAGAAATGTCATTTTTGGTTAACTATCCCTGTAATTAACTACAGCACCTCTATACACAAGTGAAACCAGAATGGATGTATTGAAATAATCCTGTTCCCCTCTAAGGCACATTCATCACAGAGTGGACAGATGGAGAGAAGACATGTGAGGCCTTCCTTGCAGATGAGGAGAGTTACTGCACAGCTGCTGATAAGTTGGTTCAGATTTCCCACTACTACGGCTTTGACGGCTGGCTCATTAACATAGAAAATGTGCTGAGTGTGAGTAACCAGACCGTATCTGATTAAATAGAGGTGTATGTGGTCATACTGTGTAGTACTTTACCGCAAATTTCACTCACTCCTCAGGAGACTGCAGTGAAGAACACTGGACCCTTTCTGCGCTACCTCACAGACCAGATGCATGAGCGTGTTCCAGGCAGTGTGGTGATCTGGTATGACAGCGTGCTGAAAAACGGCACGCTCGATTGGCAGAACAAACTCAATGATGACAACAGGCAAGTGATGGTCTTGAGGGATTACGGAAGGGCAGCTTCAGGTCTGTGAGATTTATACAATAGATTTTATGCAACTTGTGCCATCAGCTTCCTTTTGTCATCCTATCAGAATGTTTTTTGATGCCTGTGATGGAATATTCACTAACTACAACTGGACAGAGCAGAGCCTGGAGTGGATGAAGTCCTACTCTGCTGCTCAGGGCCGCTTTGCTGACATCTATGTTGGTGTTGATGTGTTTGCAAGAGGGAAGGTGGTTGGAGGGAAATTTGAGACCAATAAGGTTAGTGAAGGTTTAGTTAGAGAATATATTAGAGAGCAATTTTAATATGAGAACACTACCATTCAAAAGTCTTGGATTAGTAAAGTGTTTAAATTGTTTTTGAAAGAGGTCTCTTATACTCATCAAGGCTGGATTTATTTGATCAAAAAATACAATAATATAGTAATATTGTAAAATATTATTCCAGTTTTAAAAACTGGTTTCTATTGTAATACATTTTAAAATTTAATTAATTCCTGTGATGCAAAGCTGAATTTTCAGCATCATTACTCTAGCCTTCAGTGTCACATGATCCTTCAGAAATCTAATATGCTGATTTGCTGCTCAAGAAATATGTCTTCTTATTATCAATCTTGAAAACAGTTATATTATTTTATAATATTTTTATGGAAACTGTGATACACTTTTTGAGGTTTCTTTGATGAATAGAAAGTTCAAAAGCAAGTTCAACATTATTTATTTGAAATATAAATCTTTTGTTATATTATAAATGTGTCTTTACTGTCACTTTTGATTCATTTAATGCATCGTTGCTGAATAAAAGTATTAATAAAAAAAAAACTGAGCAGTATTTCACATCCATAATATCTTATTGGTTTTTGACTGAGTTCAAGTCTCTTTTTGTATCCTTATTAGGCTCTGAATATGATTAGGATGTATGAATTTTCAACAGCCATCTTTGCTCCTGGCTGGGTGTACGAATGCCACGAAAAGGCAAATTTCCGCCAAAACCAAGACAAGTAAGCTCTTTAGAACACTCCACTTGAGCTGATCATAGTATGCTCACTGTTTTGTAATGGGAAATGTTTGTAAGCACACACACACACAAGCAAACGTCCTAGTCACCAATGTATATTCTAACCGCTGTTTTCAGGTTTTGGAGTTTGCTGTCTGATTCCCTTTATATCCACCGGCCCTCGTCCAGTCTTCCATTCATCTCCTCATTTTGTCAGGGCTTTGGAAAGAGCCTGTACTGGAGGGGACAGGTACGCTGCACACAATCACAGTCTGTGTGACTCATCCTAAGACATCTGGAGTACACAAATATTCATCTCAAGTAGTCACAAAATGTAAGAGCCCAATAAAATAAAAAGTTTTAATGGTTTCTTCTTTAGATTATTTTCAGGCCTTGACCCTCAGAAGCAAGCAGTCTTAGTTATGGCTTATTTTGATTTGTTGAATATTCATAAAAACATGAGTACTACAGTTATAGTTACAGTTACAGCTATAGATATTTTTTATGTATCTGTATCATTCTACATTGGATATTTAATTGTTTTTGCCTATTTTTACATTTAGATCACCGTTTCCTTCATTCAACAATAAGTTAAAGTTTATAACTTTAAAAATGTTCGTTTTAGAAAATGTCAAAATGAATATCCATTTTTCCATAGTGTATTTCATAATGTTGTTACGCCTAAATTCACTTATAGCATTTAAGACGATCAATTTTAGTTTTTAGTGTTTTACTTTTCATTTATTTAGACAAACTAGTATTAAATGTATATATCGTCCATTTTTAAATATTGATGCATCCCTAGTAATTTCTTGTATGATGTAGGTGGAGATGAAGAGAAGCTGGTTTAATCTGCATGCTCAGGAGATCCAGCCTCTGTACCTCTCTGAGAACATGGACAATGGCGGCTGGCTGAGAACCCGTGGCTGCTCTGAGGACGCTTGGATCGGAGGCAGCTCTCTGACGGTGGAGGGCATGATTCCATCTGGACTTTCTGAAGTCTGTGCAAGGTACTAGAGGTTTTGTTTTCACTGGAGTACAAAAAACCTTCAATCAAACACCTTCTTTCTGTCCATTTGTAGGATTTTTTCTCTCCATGTTCCCTTGGCCACCAGGACGTTTGTTTCTTTTGTCTACAAGCCACCTGTGGGGGTGAAGATATCCTTGGAGCTCAAAACGATAGATGGTCCTCTGTGCACATTCGATGGGATGGAGGAAATAGCACGTGAGTGGTCTTTCAGGCCTTTTTTCATTAGATATCTTAGAGTCTCGGTCTGAATCTGTCATGTTTTAAAATGATTAAAAATCTAATTTGCTTAACCTGCTGTGTGTTTAGCTAGCAGTGTCTTTCCAGAAGCGTTAGCAGAGGATAACCAGTTGGTTGAGCAGTTTGCACAGAAGTGTGGCCGGTGGTCTTTGGATGGCTGGACTACCAGGTGAGAGTCTAATTTCATTTTCCTAGTTAATCACTGTACCAGGATATATCCCCCAATTATATGTTTATGATGTATAAGCATTTTTAAAAGTTCCTATGAGTTTAACTAAAAAAATTAACAGATTTCAAGGTTGAAACCTGGTAGCCCATGTTAACTTTAGCACTTACCCCAATTTATTTGATTAGTATGCTGTCAAACAAATAGTGCAGAATCTTAATACTTTCTGAAGCACCTATTTCCCCCCCCAAGTTTAAATAGACTCTGAATTACAGATTTCCAGTGGCCCTTCTGAACCCCACCCACACTACATATGTGTGATTTGTTTGTGGAATGTGAAGGACTCTGTATACTGAGCTGAAAATCTCCAATATTGATAGTGGTAACTTTTTCCTGAAAGCTAAGAGCAATAAATACATCTACGCAGTCGCACAGCATGACTGAAGAGAAACAGACTTAACTTATGCCAAACAGTGCTGCTGCATAGATCTACGTTGAGCTTGTATGAGGAGTTGTCGTGCAAATGGTTTGTTGGAGCTGTGTGCCCCTCCTGACTATCTCACAGTTTAAATAGTATATATAGCTCTAAACCTATTAAAACAGGCTGTGTGACAATCAGGAACGATGACCTCGAAATTTATGTCGGAATGCATGTTTGAGTATTTCACTATTGCTCACAATGATTATGCAATGGCCCGCGTGCCATAGGTTGCTGACCCCTGCTTTAAAGTCTAAATATTTTTGTGTCATACCAATTATCTGAAATACCTTCTCTAATCAAACTCAATGTGGTTTCATGCATAGATGTTTCCTGTTGAAAATGATTGGCTGCTCACTGCGAGAAGTGTGTATTCGTGTTTCCCGAGATGGAGGCGATGAGGACATTTCCTTTAATTGTAGGATTGGAGAGATTATGGTGAGATACACATGTACATTACAGATACCTTCTGTATGAAAGAATGAAACAATGATTTATTAAAGATTACTTTTAACAGTGCTATTAAACTATTTTTTTTAGTAATAAATTAGTATTTTTTTAGTATTAAAAATGGACTTTACCGTAAGTGAGCATTATATGACAGCAAAGGTAATCGAAGTGCAAAAATAAGGGAAGCAGCACAATGAGCAGCACAATTAAAAATCAACTGATCTCAGTAAATTAAAAAACTGGCCTTTATCCGATAGGGTACCAATATACTAACTTTACTGTTTTGTTTGGGGTCTGTAAGATTATTTTTTTATGTCTGTGAAAGAAGTCTCTTATGCTCACCAAGGCTGCATTTATTTAATCAAAAATAAAAGAGCATATAAGAGTGAAATATTATTACAATTTAAAATTAAATATAAAATGTATAATTGTCTTTACTGTCAATTTTGAGCTATGCAGCCTTGCTGAAAAAAAGTATTACAGGGATACTCCACCCCAAAATGAAAATGTTGTCATTAATCACTTACCCCCATGTCATTCCAAACCCGTAAAAGCTTCGTTCGTCTTCGGAACACAATTTAAGATATTTTGGATGAAAACCGGGAGGCTTGTGACTGTCCCATAGACTGCCAAGTAAAATACACTGTCAAGGTCCAGAAAAGTATGAAAAGCAT